GGAGCCGGCGGAAGATCCGCCTTCGGGTCAAGGGCCTTCGGGACCAGACCCTCTGGCGTATAACGCGCCGCGATTTGCGCCTTCGGCGCCAGGGCCTTCGGGCCAACGAGTTCTTAGCAGGGAGCGTGCGGAGACCGCACCTTCGGCGGGTAATCCGCCGGCAGATGCGCCTTCGGCGGTAGGGCCTTCGGGGCCAGGTACATCGGGCGAGCGGCCTTCGGCTCTGTCGCCTGCGGCGGACCAGGCGCCGGTACTTGCGCCTACGCGCAAGCCAGACGCAGCTCTCACGCAGGACCTAACGGAGGAGCGGATTGTCTGTCCGCGGGACGAAATTCGGGTGCGCGATGCGCAATTACACCCCGCGCAGACACATTCTGCTCGATCGCCTTCGGCGGCGGACGTCGGCGGCGAAGAGGACACGATCGACGAGCGGCAGGCGGATGATGGGGATGTAGCACGGCCACATTCACCCACCGCCTTAGACATTTTAGCGGGGAGCACCGAAACTCTTCCATTGGGGACAAGATACTGATTACATAAACGAGAAGATGGGAAAAGCCCCCACCGTGGAGAACATGGAATTATAACCAAAACCAATCATTTCTCAACAAGAAAATCGCTAGAAGTGGATTTTTCCCAGTTTCAGAAGTGCAGATCAGGAACTCATTTTCTCTGCGTGTTTATGTCCTTAGTTCGGTCATTACGCACGAGGAGCTACACCTTAGCGATCCGCATTGTGTAGCTGAAGGCCTTCGGCCGAATGTTCAGAGCTAGTATATTGGTTAGAGACTTGAGTAGTTCGGATCTACACCTGCGGGTGATTGCCGATGCTAAGAGCCAGTGACTAGTTAGATGCTTGAATAGTTTCGCCCCTACACCTTCGAGTGTTTGTTGCTGATTGTACTCCTTCAGGATTTTTCCTGTTAATGCCAAAGTGAAGTTTTGCTACTTCGTGTAAGCCTTGATTGTAAATTCAGGTTACGCTGCAGCAGGTGCCTTCAGGGTAACCCCTGTAGTATTTCTAGGAATGACAAGTGCCTAAGAATTCAAACTCTTCAATAGACTGTTATAGTGTGTTACTGGAATGTTTCTCAGTGAGTCCTTCAGTGCGGACCTGTGTTCTCTGCGCGTTTTGTGAGTTGAGAGTGTTGTTCACCGCGTATGAGTGACTTCGATCCGAAGTAGGCAGTCCAAACCGGGTTTCCTACGCTAGCAGCAAGCTAGTGGAAGTGTTGTAAAAGCCGGAGTTGGGAGTCACTATCTGCAGCTTTGCTGAGTGTACTCTTGAGAGACCTTCCCCCTGAAATCTTGAGTAGAGGTCCTGACGGATCTCTGGGTTGTGTTTCTATAGTTTCAGGTGTGTGTGTGTGTGTTACGCTGCACTGTGCGACCTCCGAGTGCGCTCCGAGTGGACACTTGCAGTATTTCTGCGAGTGACAGTCGCCTGAGAATTCAAACTCCTCAATAGTCTGTTAAACGTGACACTTTGTACCCTATGTGTTCCTCTGTCCCTGTGGGTTCAACCTTTCTACCACTATATTGCAGTTTTAGCCTTTAGTGGGTTATTACAGGCGGCGAGGAGATTACAGTCGCACGGCAGGCGGACGATGTGAATTCGGCACGGCCGCATTCACCCACCGCCTTGGACATTCTAGCAGGGAGCAGCGAGGCTGCAGGAGCGCCATCGGCGGCAGAGCACGCAGACATCTCGCAGCCCCGCACAGGTCAGTCGCCGACGAATTCAATGGCGACCGAAATCCTCAATTCGGAGGATGACGAAGAAGGAGGATCAACGGAATCAGTGTCGGGATCGGAATCCACCGAGGAGGAGGAGCAGGAAATGGTAGGCGCGCCGACGGCGGCGCTCTGTGAGCAAGTAGTACATCTGTTGAGGTACCTGGATCGCAAAGTGGAGAAGTACGCGGACCCTCGCTAGCCTGGGTCCTACGTCGAGCTAGTGAGGAGGCGAACCCGCACTAAAGTCCACACCAGCAAGTTGTTGAGCCGAGTGGATCAAGAACTTAAGGATCTGCGGGAGAAGCATGAGTGCCTGTGGGGTCAGTACAACCTCACTAGGAAGTTGTACAAAGCCTTCGACAAGACGAAGGACGAGAAGCTGGAAGAGTTCGCCAAGGAGAAGGCAAAGCTCGCAGAGGAGCTGGATTCTGAGCAGGCTCAGAATCGAATTTTGTCAGAGGAGCTCGTGCGACAGACACGGTTGTTAGAGCAGTGTCAGCTCGCACGGCAGGCGGATGAGGAATTAATCCGCAGACTGCAATCCGAGTGCGGGGAATTGAGAGCGCAGCGTGCGGACGCAGAGTTGCAATTAGTGGTAGTTGAAGACGATCGCCGGCGGGAGGCAGATCGCACGAAAGAGGAGTTGGCGAGGCAAGTCAACCACTGTCTCAGAGGTTACACCCACTGGGAAGTGGCGGCGCAGGAGAAACTCACACTGCGCGAGTTAGAGCTTCGTGCGGCGGGTTTGGTGTCAGGTGACAGTCGGAGCCGGCGGCGAGTAGCAAAGAAGTAAGATTCGTTTCTGTCAAGGTCGCGGGACGCCATGGCCACCCTCGAGGCGGAGGTTGCGGCGGTGCTGCGGCGGCTGGGACTGCGCAGTCGAGCGGAAGACTGGGCGGGTAGGGAGTTAGTGCGCGGCAGTCCGTCGCGCAGAAGTCGAAGCACGGGATCTGCAGAGTGTGGCGTAGCGTAGTTCTGTGCAGGCTTGTAGTGTAGTGTAGTGTAGTGTTAGTTAGGACTTAGAGGGTATAAAGTAGTTCAAGGCGTCTTGCCTTGGGATTCTTCCAGTTCGAAAGTGCAGATCAGGAACTCATTTTCTCTGCGTGTTTGTGTCCTTAGTTCTGTCACCACGCAAGAGTAGCTACAACTTGGCGATCCGCATTTTGTAGCTAAAGGCCTTCGGCCGAATGTTCAGAGCTAGTATACTGGTTAGAGACTTGAGTAGTTCGGATCTACACATGCGGGTGATTGCCGATGCTCAAAGCTAGTAACTAGTTAGATACTTGAACAGTTCCCCCTTACACTTTCGAGTGATTGTTCCTGATTGTATTCCTTCGGGATTTTTCCCCTAAATCCCAAAGTGAAGTTTTGTTACTTCGAGTAAGCCTTGGTTGTAATTCAGGTTACGCTGCAGCAGGTGCCTTCAGGGCAAACCTCTGTAGTATTTCTGGGAATGACAAGTGCCTAAGAATTCAAACTCTTCAATAGACTGTTATGGTGTGCTACTGGATCGTTTCTCAGTTGAGCCTCTTAGTTCGGACCTATGTTCTCTGCGCGTTTTGTGAGTTGAGTGTGTTGTTCACCGCGTGTGAGTGACTTCGATCCGAAGTAGGAAGTCCAATCCGGGTTCCTTGTGCTAGCAGAAACTAGTGGAAGGGTTGTAAAAGCCGGAGTTGGGAGTCACTACCCGCAGATCCGCTGAGTGTATTAGCGAGAGACTTTCCCCCTGAAATCTTAAGTAGAGGTCCTAACCGACCTCTGAGTTGTGTTTCTATAGTTTCAGGTGTGTATGTGTGTGTGTTGAGTGAACTACGCTGCACTGTGCGACCTCGGAGTGAACACTTGCAGTATTTCTGGGAGTGACAGTCGCCTGAGAATTCAAACTCTTCAATAGTCTGTTAAATGTGACACTTTGTACTCTGTGTGTTGCCTCTGTCCCTGTGGGTTCGACCATTCTACCACTATATTGCAGTTTTAGCCTTTGGTGGGTTATTACATGTACATCTAAGGGAACGCCTCCTATCAAAGTCCATCTGAGATGGTCCATCCCGTGCCATCGAGGTTTGCGAAGCTTTCAAAGATCCACGGAGATTTAACGATGTCAAGGGAATGAATGGGGGAAAAGTCGACATGAGATTGATCCGTTTCCGGTGGCTTGATCTTATAATCTCCTTTTGCAAAATGATAGCCAAATATAGGGATTGGAAGTTTTACAGTTCTACCAAGTACTTATGCTTTTTTTGTTTACAGAGAATTCGTATGGCAGCCTCAGGAGTGATGCGATCGCTCTTGAGGCTGACATTGAACAGGTCTTTTAATTTTGTCGGAATGACTGCAGAAGACCCCACTTGGCGATCTCATTAGACAATGAGATCGCCAAGTAAGGTTATTTGTCCTTCATCTGACTTCATCCAGACTATTATCCGATTATATCATCCAGCCTATTATATCATACTCCGAGCAGCTGTATGCAAAGCCAATCACACCAATGCGCCAGGCTGGAATTGTATCGCTGAAGGTCTTATTCATCCTAGCACTGTCAAGCCAAAACGAAGGGTCTATACCCCCAGGCGCAAGCTTCTGAGTAGCTTCTGTTGCACTTGACCACTCAAGGCAGTTCGCAAACTCGGATCCAAATCAAATTCTCCTGAAAATGAACTTCGATAGAGGAATAACGATATGCACGAGGAATTTATCAAAAGTGCTTTCGATTGCATGCATGTAAATCTTCAATGTTCATGGGTGCTTATTTTTTACATTATTACACCCTTTGTAGGTTGGGTGGATTTGGATAAGACGGGTAATCTCTTTCGCAATCTCGAGCCCAGAACAACTGGATATTCCTGGAAATCGACTGCATCTTATCAGCTAGCATTCAAACTATTTCTAAAGCTTATCGTGGACTCGCTCCAGTATGTGCATGTTTTATTCGTCCATGTCCAACTCTAGCTTTGGGATTATGATAACATCAAGAACAATCTTTACCAGCCAAGGCATCATTTTGGCAAGTTCAGTCCGCATGCAGAAAATGTATGACAGATGGTGGCTTTTGCGATGAGAACTGCAACTCTTCCATTGGGGACAAGATACTGATTACATAAACGAGAAGATGGGAAAAGCCCCCACCGTGGAGAACATGGAATTATAACCAAAACCAATCATTTCTCAACAAGAAAATCGGTAGAAGTGGATTTATGCGCCCCACCCGACGAACGAGTTATAGCTACACCTCTCGACTTCGAATCGTCATTCTCGGATTTCATATAGAATAACCACAAGATTTTTCTAGAAAAACCTACGCTCTCTACTCACCATAGCGTTGCTCTTCTTCTTGAAGTTCTGAGTAGAATACCATCTATATCTATATATATATACATATATATGCTAAATACAAATCTCGACTTCAGAAATATCCGACGCTGAATGTATCTGGAAGTACCAAATAAAAACCTCACACAGGTAGGGCTGGAGGCACATCCTCAAATGGCATGCCCCAGGGCGGGGCCATGCCTCGTATGTATGTACAAATAAATTAATACGTATATCTTAGACCTTTTCAACAATTTTACTTCTAAGAATTTTTTATTTCCATAGACGTACAATTTCGAATACGTAAAATGTACGTATTCTAATACGGGCATGGGGCATGCCTTTTGACCTTGAAAGGATGCATGGGCATGCCTCAAAATTTTTGCTGTGCCTCCAATCTTACACACAGGCAGAGGCATGAATATCTGGAAAGACAATGTACGCATATGTGAGAGGTTTCAGAGAGATAGGGTCATCTGGAGCCTTGTTCACTGGCAAAAGTCGTGGGATTTTTCCATCAGGAGTAACTGCCAAAGGCTGACCATTGAGCAAAACGACCTGGCTGGTGATATTTCCATCAGCAGGAGACATGTGGTATTCATGTCGAAAGCTGACTTTGTCAGAACCCTCGAACTTGTAAGTTTCGATCGTAGTTGTAGTGTTGCTGAAATTCAGAAGTAACACTGTCACTCCTCCCTGCCAAGCCAGCCCACACAAGATGTTCCACAGATGTAACACGAAATTGTATATCCATTCTCATGGGCTGCATGAGATAAGGAATCAATCATGCATCCTCCCAAGCATTGCTATCAATCCCAGGTTCAGGTATTCAGGTATTGTGCTTTCCTGGTTGAACGTAAAATTCGAAAGAATTTTGAGGTTTGGCGTTATCACGTACCTTATTGTCCTTTTGACAATGAGCGTACGCGCTAATGGCTGATCCAACCATGCTAACGAACAACGCGCGGTCTCCCATCAGTCTGCGCCAAAGCAGGGCTCTAGAAAGACGATCAAAGAAGCCTTCTATCAGAATTTGGGAAAAGCGTTAGTTATGAAGTTATGAAGATGCTCAGGGAAAAGACAGAGAGAAGTTAAAGGGAGTATACTTATTTCTTGAAGGGAATATTGGACAGAGAGAAGTTTTAAATAAGTCAAAGTGCTTGCTCCTTAATCATCAGCTCAGCCGCCATGGGTGACAATGAGTGAAGAGCAAAAACTCAGCTCAAAGTAAGTGACAACCCTCGTCAAATCACATTCACTTTGTAGTTTGCGAAAAGATCAGACAACTTCTTGGTTGTATATAAGCTTTCTGAACGAAGCCTTGGAACTCACCCGTAGTAATCAGGATAAGGTTCGAACGTAGACCTATCCAGCAAACCGTAGTTGCCCCCAACGAAGCTTTGTCTACAAAACACTTTAGTATTGAACAATGATGCAGTACCGAGTTCATCCAGGTACCTATAGAAAGACCCGACTTGAGTTCAGTACATGATTCCTATTGTGAAAAAGAGTACAAATTCCGTCATAGAACGTTTGCTGTCCTCGTGGTTATTGTAGACCTGTTATATGGATAGCAGATGATCCGAAGCTTCTTAAGCAGGCTAAATAAAACAATAAGCAATAACAGTATGCTCGATGACATATTCGTATTTCGAAACATGTCACATCTGCCAGCTATAGATTCAATGATTTTTACAGTCCAATTGCTGCTCTCAGTCTATGTGGACTGCATAATGATGTCTTTTTTTCAGACTTCTTCAGAGCGATAATATCTTCTATGCAAGATCTTGATCTTTAATTTCTGTAAAGCTGTGGAAGCATAGCAGAAATCTTACCAGAAAGCATCAATGAAAGTATCGCTGACTCCATGGCGTCCACTGCGGTAAATACCTCCAGACTCGCCAATCCAAGCTTGTACAGCTAGATGATCGCTTAGAAGAGTATTTACATTCTTGTAGGTACCAGTTTGCTTTGTAACGAATGTTCGATTCAATATGCCGTTAATTAATATCTCTGAGGAGCTATCTCCTGCAGCATTTGAAAGTTGATGTTGTGAGTTTCAGTCGAATAATGAAAGAGCAGCCACAATTACGATATCACTCAAACACGACTGACTACATGGAAGCACACTGTGAGAGGAGGACATCATGCACCAGTCCCTGCTAACAATATGTGCACATAAGCACATGTTTTTCCCAACTGCTGAAATTATGCAGCTATGTGCAGGCAATTTCTTAATGTCGATGAGAGAAATATTATCTCTTAATTTAAGCTAAAGCTAACCGTATCGAATCCAATGTAGAAAAACCTAAATGACATTGAGATTAGACGACAGTTGTATCTACAAGAATATGTTGTATGATATATTCTCTACACCGCAAATCTCAATCAACAAAACGGTCAGAATCAGAGCTAAAGAGTCTAGAAAATGAAACCTGAGCCCAAATTGTAGGAATGTGTTGTCAGTACGTCCAGTTTTTCTCGGCCTGAGTCCGTCAAGAAATTTTTAAGGTCATCACTTGAAGTCAAGTATACCATATCTGGTGCAATGACCAAGGGAAGCGTGGGATAATCCTTATAGAGATACCTCACGATTATGTCAAGATTCTCAAGATCACGAGAATATTGCGCTGGACTAACCCTTGCGTCAATAGCAAGCCCTATCAACTCATTTCCTGTTAAACCACCGCAACGTTTGTCACTAAATTAGAAAGTCAAACTTGTACATAGTTCGATGAATTTGTTAATTTATCACTTAGCCTCCTTCTCCACCACCTTCTATGTGTATTCTTATCAAATATGAAAGGATCACGTGTTGCTGTTTACTTCAATCAGACTGTGGAAATTCAAAGTGCGTTGCAGTTGGCTGCTTACCTAGCTCCCATCCTGATATTGCATAGTTTTTATCACGAGTGTACTTCATCAACTCATATGCATTTGTCCAATCCCATGGCTCCGTCACGTTCTGAACTTCCGTTCCAGTCGTAGTTTTCGTCTTATTTCGCCCATACAGAGCATTCAGACCAAAAACCACTTCAACCCTGCATTGAAGTCATTAAAGTGCAGTCAAGTATCAAAGAACATCCCCTTCGCCATATGGCAAGTCTATATCGTCTGGTGCGCGATCGACCCTATCCAAATGCCTTGGTAAGTAATCATAATTCCAAGATCGGCTCTTTTCCCAAGCATTGAATGAGCGATCACAGTTCCACGAGCTGCAGGGTTCAGAGCCAAATTACAGTCCTGCAAACTGCTCACGATTCCATGTAAAAAGATTCCATGTAAAAAAAAGAGCTTTTCGGGCATCATCGATCCAGAGGAACTTCGAATTCATGGCTCCTGGCACTCTGAAGTACTGTTACGGTTTCTCGCACTAGAACAGAATCTTATCTGCAAAGCTACTCACCCGGTCTTTTTGAAAAATGCATTGAGCGCGTCCCATCGCTCCATTGTAAGACAACCGCCGCTGAATCCGTAGAACACGCCTTCATTGACAGAGAAAGGAACGCAAGGTTCGCTTGGAAGTTGCTCGCCGATATCGTAAACAACGATATTCTCCAGTGTTCCTCCGGCTCTCACAAGTGGTCGCAGTTCTGCACGTGGGACGGAGATTCGTTGCGTGCCATAAGCATCAGCATGTCTGACTACAACGACAGCCCTTCTCTCCACCATTTTAACAACTCGGCACCTGATACCTCCCCCACTCACATGACCCCTGTGATCCTACTCGAGCGCTAAGCTATTATTCGCTCATAGAAGATCAAGGCGAGTAACGATGAGAAAGCATGAACGTGAAGAGCTACAGAGTACAACCTTTCAGAGCTTCCTGTAACATTGGGTTCTCAAGATCCTGCAAGCACGACAAAGAAATAAACTCTATCAGTTCAGAAATGGGACTGTCGCTAAATCATCCACGTCCCATCATGAGGCAAGCTGAGCCGCCACGGCGTTTCTTACGATCTTCAGCACTTCAGCACTTTTATTATCGTCTGAATCTGGACTCTGGGAGCAAAGAGCTCGTGCTTGGCCATGCACACGAGACAATTAGCATCATATGATATACTTCTGTTGAAGAATCTGTAAGTTCCATCATGGCATTAGAAATACGGACTGATGAGTAGAAGCCTGAGAGAAGAGACTCGTGAGGGTCAGTACATTCCTATGTGGATAAACAAAGGACAAAAAGGAAAACGACGTAGTTGCCATGCAAGCGGACGAGGCTCTGTCTGAAGGATTGTTAGGAGTAACCAGCAGTAGTCAGTGAATATGTTCGAGTCTCAGGGCTGTCACACCTGCGGGTGAATGGACTGGAAACAGTTGCTTCTAATAGGGATGTAAAGCCCAGGCCGAAATATGCCTACGCCGGTCTTGGTTTGTCAGCATCCAACGAAGAGGGATTATTCCTGAATCGAAAGAAGAGTCTGAGCAGTCTGACAATGGCCAAGTTCGTACCAGATACGGTAGTCCAGCTCCTCCCCATGGGCACTGCACCATGCCGTTCGTACTGCATTTCTCGGACGGCCACCAGTCGAGAGTTGCGCAGATGAAGTTTTTGTCGACATCAGTGGCATGGTATCTGGTTTGCACTACAAGTTCAATCACGAACGTCTCCTGCAAATTCCTCGCATCCACCTGTCGCAGATGAATGTAGAGAGACCAGATGAGCACGACACATTGGAGAAGCCCGCGGCAGCTTATCGCAGCCATCGTTCCCTCCGTACAGAATAGACAGTCGCTGTCTACGTACAACACTTCGAGCTTCACTCCTCAACGAGAAGTCGAATGGGTTGAATTACCCCTTCTCCTCTGTCGTAATTACCTACTTCGTATTACACCACCCACGAGACCACTCATAGCAAGTTGCTATTGAGGAGAGTTCTATTGCCTCTCGAGGCTGTGACAATGGACATCCAGACCTGCGGTTTGTAGCTGGACCCAGGAACCAGCAGCCTGGTACTAAGCAACTGCAGCGGATTGCAGAGATTCCGACACCAGTATTTAGTCATGTTTATGCTGTGTCTGTCTCAAGTTGCTCTTAGAAAAACTCAGATCCTTTCAGATCCATTCAGTTCGTTTCATGAGCTTACTTTGTCTGTAAATTGTACCGGAGGTTGCTGTTTATGCATCAGATAGGTAACAAGTGAGATCAGTGTGCGGGAAGAGCCAAAGATTTTTGGAAATAAAAAATGGAATTGATTAGGGATTTGCGATTTCTTTAACCAAAATTTTAGGCAACGTACGAAGGCAAAATTGACAGTCTATTAATGGGAAAGAAGATATTCTCAGTTTTTTATCAAATCTTCCCGACTTGTAGTGCACGGGGCTGGCGTCATCCATGCCATGCAAATTTCCGCGAAACTGAAGCTCAGGGCCTGGAGCACCAGCGGGACGTCTCAGACACTACGGTCAGTGGTTCCTCGCAATTCGCAGCTCTTCTGACAGCGATGAGCTCACCGTGACCAGTGCCGACAAGAGCTTACTAATAATTGTACTGGATCAGAACTACCCGGTCGTCATCTGTATGGGACTGCAGCCCTCCGACGCAGGAGTTATCTGACTGCCGTACGGGGAGGAACGGCAGTAAGATATAAAAATGTCAGCCGCCCTCCTGCCGTTGTCCTTGTCAGGCGCAGCCCTCCGTGACTGGGATTTCATTAACTTGTAGAGCGGCGACGCTTAGCACACAATGTTCTTCAGTATCTGCAGAGATGCGTGAGCTAGACCGGAGAAGCATCATTATCGCATATCATACATTCGGGGCCAGATATTTGACGTAATGCATTGGTCCACTCCATTGCAATCACATATCTTCTTCTCATTATGATTCATTCTGTGCACAGGTACGCAACGGTTTGATAACACGTCTGCCACGTGGGAACTTCACTTGAAGCTATCCAGTCTATTCAGCGCACTAAATTGGGAACAGAACAATACTGGTGGGAAACTTGGTATGAATGAAGAAGGAATCTCTAAGCCCTTTCGCAAAGAAAAGATGATGAAAGAAAGGGCTCATTTTTGGCAATATTTACTTTTGACAATTTGGACTTCTTTGATAACTATGAAAATTCATGGGTGAACTGTGGGTTGACTTGAGTGACAGATTGTTATTCAGATCACAAACGTTTGAGCTTGATTTGACGTGTAATCAACGTAATATTAGACATCAAAATCAAATTATATGTCTACTCACCCAAACATTCGACTTGAATTGATCTCATCTGACATTAGACATATAATCATGAAAAAAAATTTGTCTTGTCACCAAAATATTAGACATAAAATCATCAGGAAATATGACTTAACGTTTATTCTACTCAAATCATATGCGAAAAATGTAGTCAAAAAATGTGAATTTAAAAATCAATACGCGCATACACGTTAAAGTGCTAATACTAGATTATACAACAAGCTTGTTGTTGTATGTTTCGACATCCATATGATGAAAGATGGCTAAGTTTAGTCACAATTGATCTAGTATAGCACTTTGCAAATCCATCAAAAAAAATGCACAAGTGGTGATATACTCAGCACCCATCCCTCTTGTATGAGAGTGAGAGAACCATATTTATCCAATTTTTTCTCTGAAATTACTACAAAATATGTGTCTTGTCTCAAAGAACTACTAACAAGTTGACTATAGGTTCCATGGAGGAGGAGAATGTCCTGTCCAAAGCATTGGATCGACATGCACTCAACTTAGCCCGCACAAGTGGACAACAGGAAACAATACGCAATTGGCACGCTATACGAATGAGCGATCGGAGACATGAACATAACTCCTGTACGCAAAGACGCGTTTCCAGGTTTCTTGGAAGCCCCAGTTTCCTAACTCAGACCTCGTACTGCACTCCATTCGCGGGCTCTGCAAACCTTGGACGCAACTGCTGGTGTGTGGTGGACTCCAGACCCGCAGATCTCAACAAGGGAGATACAGAGGTTCGGAATGATGGTAAGAGCTCATGCCTGCAGGCCTAAATTCGATCTGAATTTAGGAAAATTAGCCTCTTTTTGTCAAGAAGAGACTAACGTACTAGTTTAGACCGGAGATCAAATGACATTTATAGTGAGTACTTCATAATCACAAGACGATATGAGGGTCTTGCACTCTGAAGAGATTGATGTCTATTGTCTCGTTGTCTCAAAGTTATCTTACGCAGTAGAAGTCTCTCTGCAAAGTTCGAACCTCCGCAATCACCTCTCGACGATGAGAAGCCGAATGTGCTTGATGGCTGAACCTCCGTCTGAACGTGCATGTTTCAACCATATTAGGACGTTGGTCTATAGACGATAATGAGGTAGTATTCCCACTCAAGCCTGTGGCGGCCGGACCTCCCTCCGAAAAGCATGGTCGGCATCCGAAGAGAGGAAACCAGTTGCTGGTTCAAAAGTGACTAGGTGGTGCTGGCGTGTTATGATTACATACAAACTTACAGACAACTGTTCAATTGTCAATCACGCTTATCCTTTGATTTTTTAAACCGTCGCTTAGATCTGATCGGATCTATGTTACAGCAGAGGTTGGATGTACAGAGAGAAAACATTACTTCGCAACTGTTCTGAGGGACATTGGTTTCACATCGGGAACTTCAAGTGAGGTCAGTTGCGGCAGAGCAGAGGTCGTTTGAAACAAGACTAACACATTCTGGTCTTCCGATATGAAAATTAGATATTTCGGAAAAGTAAAGTGGGACCACACTCGGATGACTATTTAATTTTTCGGGATTTGACTTTTTGTACTCCATTGCAAAAGTCTTCCCATTCTTGTACAGTCTTCCAGACGTCTTCATGTGGTCTTCCCAGAGCTTGGGATCCGAGAACACCCACATCATGCTGAGCTGCTTAAAGCCTGTGTCGGTCCTGATGCCGCCCGTACAAAACCGAGATGATTACAGTACTGAGAGATGTGAGAGACATCCATACTTGGAGATGAGGACTTTCCTGGGGCATTGTACCAGACGCAGGCAGATAACGTCCAAGAATGGAACGTCAGATCAGGCGGTCTGCTGCCTGAATGACATTTTTGTCTGCGAGGCCGCGATTCCGATCTGTTGACTGGATCAGTTCATTTGTGCACGTAGACCAGACTATATTCTTGTCTGTTAGAGTCGTACGAGATAGATTTTGGGTCGTCGGTGGCGAATATTCCCCCACTCCCATTGTGTCATGTTCTATGAATTCTTTTTGTACTCTGCAGGCTTTGGTGACAGTCATGCTCGATTGTTACCTCTGGCTCGCAAGGTTAGTTGGATTCTTGTCTGGTTTTGTTATTTTATTTCTTTTCTTGAGACTCTCAAGTGGTTTCTAGCTTTGGTTTTATACAAATATCGCCAAAAATCTATAATTAAAATGTTCTTAAATACTCAACCTAAGTCGCTCACCTAAACTACTGTACTACCCTAAATGTTTCATAGACTTTCAGCAGTATGACATCGATTAGGTGTTATAAAATCAACATGAAAAATATATAGAAGATTTGACGATTATCTAATATTATTCTTTTGTGGTTTGGTAAGTATTGATATTGAAATAATCTTTGTATGCAATAGAATAAGACTATTCCAAATCATCAAATAACTCCTCATAAGTAAAGACAAAATAACGCTTAAAATATGGAGAGGAGTGAACCCAATCTCCAAAAAAAGGGATTTCTCTTGACATGGGTTTTTTCCACCAAAAAAGATTATCATGTACCAAAAGTGGCAATATGGAGTTGTTTGCGTTTTGAGCAGCATTTGAACCCAGAGAATGCAACTTTACCAAAGTATATGATACTAGGCTCCTTCTATTTAATGGCCAGAGTGGAGATTTAACTCATAAATCTTAGAGCGGGCTTCAAGAACTTGCTAATATTTACGGGAAGGGAAGTAAATAAGATATTCTAATCTCAATGCCTGTCTAAACCTCTGCAGTTTCTGCTTGTGTAATTTTGGATTTACACCAATTCCAGCAAACCTCCTTGCTTTCGTTCCACCTTTCTCAAATTTCCAGACTTCTTCGATTTCTGTAAGTTCCACATGATGAAGTAACTGCATACTTCCGTCTGAATCTTGACGACAAAGTACATTCAACGAACAATTCTGTCAACCAACCCATATTTCTTACCCATAAGGCTCCAAGTGGCCAATGTGTATGCTGCTCGAGCGCTATGTGTAATAACCCACCAAAGGCTAAAACTGCAGTATGGTGGTAAAAAGATCGAACCCACAGGGACAGAGGCAACACACAGAGTAAAAGTGTCACATTTAACAGACTTTTGGTAGAGTTTGAATTCTAGGCGACTGTCACTCCCAGAAATACTGTAGTGCTCGACTCGGAGGCTCGACTCGGAGGAGGAACTCAACTCGGAGGATGCTCGGAGGATGCACGGTACAGCTTGGTCACTCAACACACACACACACACACACCTGAAACTGGCAAAAAGCACAACTCGGAGGTCGGTCAGGACCTCCGCTTCGGATTTCAGGAGGAAAGTGTCTCGCAAGTTCACTCAGAGGTTCTGCAGGAAGTGCCTCCCACTCCGGCTTTTACTGCCCTTCCGCCAGGAACTAGCGGGGGTACCCGGACTGGACTTCTCACTTCGGAACGAAGCCTCTACGTACGCCGTGGACGTCACCCTCGACTATCACACAAAACGCAGGGAGTGCAGACCCGACTGAGAACTTACTGAAAACACGATCCAGTAACACACACACAACCTGAATTACAAACCAAGGTTTACACGAAGTAATGAAACTTCACATTGGCATTCAGGGGAAACTTCCCGTAGGAGTACAATCAGGATATGTCACTCGAAGGAGTAAGGGGGAACTGTTCAAGTCTCTAACTCGCAGCCGGCTCTGAGCATCAGAAATCACCCGCAGGTGCAGATCCGCACTACTCAAGTCTCTAACCGGGTGCGAGCTCTGAACATTCAGCCGAAGGCCTTCAACTACAACATACGGTAACTTCGCTATGCTGCAGCTTCTCTACGTGGTGCCAGGACCAAAATGCACAAACACGCCAAGAAAGTGAGTTCCTGATCTGCACTTCCGAAACTGGAAGAGTCAAAAGGCAAAACGCCTTGAACTACTTT